TGGAATGTTGTTTCTATACATATATCTTTATCCTGTTAATTCTTTATGGTTCTGATGAAGTGTCGTTACAAGGAAATTCAACTGTTAAATTCTGATTTCCATCAAATTGTCTTGTCACCTTTTTAAAGAAGTTAGCAGAAATAATAAACGTTTATTATATTATTTAAATATTAAATGGTATATTTTATATTATATGTAATTTGCGTGGTTTAATTTCCATGATATAAATTTAATCCTATTTTACTATTTCACGTCGTAGCGGTAGAACTACATAACGGTTTAATGAGAACTCATTTCGATGTAATACATTATTCTATTTGATAAATTCACATATCCGATATTTAATGGCCGCTAATTCCATGTTCCTAAGTGTGTAAAAGTATATCGTTGCTAAGACGAGCAGTGGCCCACGTGCTGCACCACGTGACATCACGTGCGTTACCACGTGACGTGATGTCACGTGGCCCAGCTGTGTTTCATGTACCTCTACCAGGATGTACGCTGTGTGTTGCGGTCCTGTGTACTTTACAGCTTGAACTTCGCAAAATGACAATACTCGTTCTCTTTCGGAGATTAAATCACTTTTTCTGACTTAATATATAATAGATACGTCAAATAGCCAAATTAGGTGGCTAGCGGTCAGCATAGATAAATATGAATATTAATTTACACGGTCCCTTATCTTGCATATGAAAGTTAAGTTCCGTATTATTGCCTTCTGCTATTCATAATATTAATTATTACGAAATGATAATGAGTAAACCTAATATTGATTGTGTAGCTCCCAGTGCGCAGAGTTACCCGTGAAACTCTCCACACATACATTCGTGTCAGCTAACCATGTAATAAATAGACATGTTCTGAAGCTGCTGAAAATGAGACTGATAAAAACACGGAGGGGGAGTGTTGAAACTCTCATTCTGTCCCTACATACAAGGTAAAAACATCTTACTCCAGATCGTCTGGTAAGATCAGTGTAGCTTATTAAAGGACCCTGGATCTGTGTAGCTCATTACTTTAATAGATATTTCATTACTGATAAACAATGCAAATAACTAAAAACTGCGTGCAGCTGGACAATTTTCTCTTACTCAGACCATTCATAAATATTTTTTTGGCCGAGGCTGGGATCTTTAAAACTTTTCTCACGACGTGGTAAGTTTTAATGTTTCCGATTGGCTTATTAGCGTGCAAATTTGCCTCCCGTGCTAGGAGATGATTCGGTTTCTTTGTAAGCTGGCTCAAAATAGAACAGACAGAGTCGCAACCTAAGCAGCTGGGAAGTTGTGCAGGTATTCTGCATTCTAAGTGGAACTATAACCTGAAATTAGGCTGAAATAATTGGCTTTTAACATTACTGAAAAAAGCGAGCGGCTCTATTCACACAGTTTTAAGTTTTAGTGTCCCCATAATGTTAACACTCACAACTTTAATGACATTTTAAGTGGGAGAGGATTTAACTAGCTGCTAACTAGCAATACCAGACCATTAACCCACAGTTGCTAAGTTGCTAAATGCTATTTGATGCTGTCTAACAAATATTCAGCTACTCAGACATCTGTAATCTGTCCAGGGTTGTTAAACTCTGTTTAGTTGTTTAAACCACGACACCCAGCACACTTAGTTAGTAATACAGTGTGTGTGTGTGTGTGTGTGTGTGTGTGTGTGTGTGTGTGTGTGTGTGTGTGTGTGTGTGTGTGTGTGTGTGTGTGTGTGTGTGTGTGTGTGTGTGTGTGTGTGTGTGTGTGTGTGTGTGTGTGTGTGTGTGTGTGTGTGTGTGTGTGTGTGTGTGTGTGTGTGTGTGTGTGTGTGTGTGTGTGTGTGTGTGTGTGTGTGTGTGTGTGTGTGTGTGTGTGTGTGTGTGTGTGTGTGTGTGTGTGTGTGTGTGTGTGTGTGTGTGTGTGTGTGTGTGTGTGTGTGTGTGTGTGTGTGTGTGTGTGTGTGTGTGGGTGGGTGGGTGGGTGGGTGGGTGGGTGGGTGGGTGTGTGTGTGTGTGTGTGTGAGATGGTGATGGAGGAATTAGTTAAAATATCACAGAGCACACGTCGTAGTACTAGATTATTGTCATATTATTATAGTGCTGACTTACTGGGAGCTGAGGTATATAATAACATGTATCATCTTTAGCGGTAACTTTTGGATATTTTTGTAGGATTTCCTGGTTCACGGGGCGTGGTAGTACAACTCTTAAAACCTACTTGCTGTTAAATACAGCGGTCACGTGATCAAGTACAACTGAGTTGTTGGTTGCTGAGCGGGAAGTTCAAGTATAAGAACATTACACTGTACAGCACTGCACTTGCTTCACTCTGCTCAACTTCTGTTCAACTTGGTGATCTCATCTGTTCAATGAACATGTGTTACCATTACAACTAACACGTGACATTACAGCTGACACGTGCTAGCTGGAAGAGTCGGGAAGTTTATTTTACCAAATAAGGGCACACGTCACTAGACTTACAGTGTGTGGAACAACGAAACTTTATTCCAGGATCTTCATTATGTTTATATATAACCAGTGCTGAACTAAACGTGTACATGTAAGAACTGTAACTAGGGAGGGAAATGTATTTTAAATGTGGGTTTCTCAGCACTTCTGTTCTGGAACCGTTGTAAGTGACGACAGAGTTTTCGTTTCTCTGGACTTTAGTTGTCAAAGTGGTGACAGGCTTTATATATTATATACAGGCTTTAGGCTTGTTCTGCTAATGGAAACGTGTTCTCTCTTTAACACTTAGCTAATAACCTAAAACTTATCTCATTATTGGACCTGTAAAACGGGTAGATTAAAATTACGTGCACTCATTATTAGATCACAACTCTAGTATTCTAAAGCACTCAGTACTCATAATGTACACAATGTGAACAATCAAGAGATGAAGGAACAGTGAAGGTAAGCCATTAGGAAAGGGTCCGTATTTAATGGATAGTGGTGTCTGAGGGTAGGTATAAGGTTTCGCAGTTGTGTTAGAAGCAACCAGTGCTGAAGTAGTGAGTTCTGAAAATGTGTGTTTGTTTTACAATTTACGAAGAGGAAGACCTGCGTCTATAATTCACACATACACTTCAATATTAATTATACTTCAAGTTTGTAACTTAGACTATGCTATATATATGCTATTTATTTATATGGCTGTGAATTGTGTCAACTCCCTGGTTAAGGTACAAATTTGGTTTTAAAAGCATAAGTGGTATCAGATTGTTGGTATTATTTAAAATAACTTCAGTCTCAAAATTAAGTTTTATGTCTATAAATGTTTTAATTTTGTTCGACAAGCCCAACAACTGCCAAGACAGCTGCCTAATTTTGAGCCCACTGTCTATTTTATACTTTTAGTGAGTCTAAATTGTCTGAATGTCTTTAGAATTAAATGATATTCTATCTTTACATAAATTACCGAACTGGACTCGACCGAATTACAAGATCTCAGTAAACAATTCATTTTCTATCTCATAGCAGATCGTACAAATGTCCATTCTTTAACCGATGTAACCGGAAAAACATCAAAGTTTTTAAAAGCAGGTCACTAAAGTTATATTAGGTGAAAGTTATATTAAGTGAAATGTAAATAGCTTATTGCTTTATGACAATTTGTAATAAATCTTCCGGAATCTCTAATTATCACGTCATATTCTAAATTTCTAAACTTGCCTCAAGTCTGTAAACTGTGTTCCTTTATAACGTTAACTAAATATATTAAATACCTTAACTCCTTACCCCTCATTATATAATATATATAGCCATATTCACACATACCTCAGTCTCTAATAGTGTAAAACATTATGTACTTTATCCGGAATATAATATGCCACCTTATAGTAGGGCTAGAGAGATGAGTCGTGAGGTGCAGTGCTACTTAATACTTAGCCCCCGTGTCACATACCTGACATAACCTGGGGAATACCACGTGTTTCCTTGGTAACTGATGTTACCATGGTCACTAAGAGACCAGTCTTAAGAGGTTGTTTAGAGCCAGTTTGGTCTTGTCCTGTAGAATGCCTGACAGCATGAAATTAAGACACAGTCTTGAAGGTAAATAATAACACTGTTTTTAGCGGTGTTATAACGCCTCCTCCAGCTGTAGACCAATACTAGTCCAGTCAGAAATTCCTTAATAGTCACATACTTTCTCATCCAATTTTCATTATAAATTGCATACCTCACTTCCCTGTTTTTAAGAAAATGAATCGATTACTGTACCCCTAATAACATCACTTCTAACGCGAACGTAGAATCATATCTCTTCAGCAGGCAATCAAATTCACATGATATCTTACACGATTTACGCGATCACAAAATACTTACTGTCACTGTCTAGTGTCTAGTGTCTTTAAATGACACAATAATGGTAAATTTAAACAAATATTGAGCTGACGTTCTGTTTAATAGAATTTCGTATTGATAAAGATGCGTAAATGTAATGTCACTATTCAATGCTCTCTCTCTCTTTTTACCAGTTCAAACTTACTATGAATGTAACAGGATAACATTCTTATTACTCACTAAACTTATTCACAATACTGTAGACGTACGGGAGGAGTTACTTTATTCCCACAAACTAAGTATTATTATTTTGTAATATTCACAAACCTATAATTTGAGACAGTCACAGATTGTTCGTGATAGTATCTTAGAGTACGTGATAATACTACTGTAGATTTCTTATCACAATGCTGAGAAAGGAATGTACACCCCTAATCCTAGTTTTACTGCACCCTTTATAGATGAAGTACTAACTCTTTAGTCTTTAACCCTTTGTAACCATAATCAATAACTATGATACTTGTAAATTTGTTACAATTGTGATGGAGCAAGCCTAGTATGCATATGGAACCAAGTATTGGTGATATTGGTGATATCCAATAACCTCTCCCAGTAACCAATAGTAACCACCACTCCCTCAGCTCCCCCCTTTGTAACCATAGAACCCTCCCTCAGTAACCAAAGTAACCATAGAACCCTCCCTTAGTAACCACACTAACCACTAACCTCCCCTCAGGCACACCTGGATCAGTGGTCCCAAGTTCCCCAAATTAGATGAGTGTACACATTTCCACTACGACAGGGTAACACTACCAGACGACTTTACAGTTAGTTTGAGGACTGAACACGGGGATCATGAACTGCAGCTTAGTGGTGAAACCACCATCACTGTATTTTACGTAAGTTATTTTATAGTTATTTGTTTTATTTATAAAGTTATAACTATACCACTGGGTATTTGCGAGGAGACATTGTACACAATTCCTAAGTGTATTATCAGTTTTTCTTCTGAATCCCTGGGAGTATTAGAAAATAGGTATTTACCACTAAATTTTAAATTTCGCATTGATAGTGATATATGATCCTGGAATGCAGCTTTATATAAATCACGTATTCGGAATTCTAGATAATATGTCATATTTAGTACTGATATCATTTATATAATAATAGCAGATAAGATACCTTAGTTAGGATTCCAAAAATATCTTTGTATGAAATTAGGATATTACATCGTTGGAATACCTTGACGAAGAATGTGAGTTGACAGGGATAAGCTGGGTAATCGCGTAAACAAAAACGCGTCATGAATTGTATAAAGCTTGATAGGAACTAGGCAAATGATAATATTCGTGACTGTTATATTATGATTGGCCCACAGTGAAATTATGAGCTTGTAGGTGGAACATTGAATTATTAATAAATACTGAACCTTTTTTTATATAGTCAGTGTTTTATATAGTCAGATGCTTGATCTATTTTTGGGTTTTTTCGACTTTTTTACATGTACAATTGCACTTATTATTCTGTATTGGTATGTAAAGCTACCTTTGTCGTTGAACGACTAAAAGCTTAGAGCTCAACGTCCAGAGTCAACACTGCTCAATAACAACGTCACGTTAAATGTAATTCCTTGCTCCTTCATGCTTTCTTAAATCCCGCGTAAAACATTTTCTCATCCTGACTGTGTACTCATGATTTTATTTACAACTTACAGCACTAAATGAAATTTCTTGAAAATATAATTCGAGTTCGGACAAAACAATCGACCAAGAGTAATGAAACGAATTAGATAACTATGAAGAGAATGTAACCAAGAATTTCCTTTCTCAGATATGAGCTTAATTTGTTCGTTTATAAATTTAGGGTTCTAGCATTAAACCCGCACAATAAATGTTTGGAACTATTTTGTAGGATACATAAGTCTTTAAGCTCGTGCATTCACGCTCGTACTGTCATTTGGACTGCTTTGTATCCCGTAATAGATTGACGAGTTGGTGAAAGTTGTCGGTCTATTTGAGCGTTTGTCAAAGTGATATAGCTAATGGAATCCTGTGTACAAAGTTCCTAACTTTGATACCGAACTTTCTCTCACAATTAGTCATGTTCTCTTGATCAGATTCTTCAATCGGTAAATGTAATAATTTTGCCCGAGAATTACTACTTTTTACATTGGCAGAATGCTTACCGTAAGTGTTATCTGGATAGGAAATGAAATATTACACCCAAGTAATACTTACATACGACTGTTGTACCATCTTTAATGTACTATATGAACTGTTAGTTACAAGCAAAAGCCTAGCGGTCACATAACAAGAAAATGGTCTCCATTTTAAAGCTTCTTTAGTGACTTACTTGACTGACTTAAGGCGGCTTCAGCGTCCGAGTATTGATGCTCTGTCTCCATAAAACTCTATCCGCCATAAGTCCGCCCATTTCTCCAGTGTCGTTGAGACCCGTGTCAGCTCGTAGGCTATCAACATAAGTCATGGCTGGTCTCCTTCTACTCTGCACCCCATGAGTTGGTTCCCAGAGTAGCAAGCGGTTTGCGACTAGTTCTGGGTGCCGGTGGATATGGCCTGCTAGTCGCATCCTGCGCTCTTGGATCTTCATGGTTGCTCTCGGTAGGTTGCCATAGTCTTCTTTGTTGGTTTGCGCTGCTTCCAATCCACATTTAGTGCCATCCTTAGCATTCTAGTGTAGCAGCCATCAATGCGTTTCTTCAATTGCTCTGTCAACGTCCACGTTTCAGAACCATAAAAAAGTATTGACTCCACAGAAGCAACAAAAAGACGGATCTTTAGTCCTCTTCTAAGGTCAGACTTCCACATCTTCTTTAGCTTGTGGCAGGCTGCCCAAGCTTTAGCTTTTCTGACCCGCAGGTCCCTTTCTGTTGTTGCTATCCATGCTCCAAGGTAAACAAAGTCTGTCACCTTTTCCAGCTGGTTTCCAGAACAGCTATGAAGACTACTCGCCTCCTCTGTCATGTTCAGAGTCATGAACTTAGTTTTAGTGCCGTTCATGGCTAGCCCAACACTCAGTGCTGCTCTCTCAAGCCTGATGATATTATATAATATATTGCTATTTTAAAACTTCTATGATATCCAAGTTGTGTTTAATAGATTAGTCTTATTAAATCATTTTGTCTCCCATTTCGTTAGACTGAAAAGGCACATTTCGGTCAAAAATAGGCGAGAATAGACGGGAAGGTTTAGGCTGGCAATACAAGTGCAACTTGGGCTGTATAAATACGCTCAAAATTTAGTCACTTACATGGCTTTCCTATGGTCACACTCCTTGATACTAAACATATGAACAGGTCAACTTCACGGCAACTTCACGTTATATGTCACCTAATATCTACCCCACTACCGAACATTACCATAGCACCTACAAATATATGTTGTAACAAAATACACGGTACTGAACACTGATGTTAGGGCGGCTTCCCTCCGAAATTGAAAACATATTATTAGGTCATTTGACAGCAACTTTTGTGAGTGTCATCATGCGCGTCAAGTTTGTTAGTTCAAGGGAGTCACTCTCCTAAGGGAGTGTCGGGTTGTGATGGTGCTGGTTGTATTCAGTGTACAATGTGTAGAGCGCTGTGATGAGTTGATAGTGTTGGTAACTTGTTAAAAAGTTAAAAGGTATAGCTATGAATTGAAAGTGAACGAGTATTATTTTTCGTATTCTGTTTTAACATCACAGTAGTACACGAATAGAGACACTTCTACGTGTAAAATAGAAGTGTAGAGAATAAAGTTTATCTTAAAACTGAACGTGTTTTAAACATAAGTTATTTAATGATTTAATGTTGCAGAGTATTCTGTAACCAGGCACAAGATGTCTCTTAAACATTATATTTGTTGATAGTGTAATTATAGTAGTGTAATTGTAGTAGTAATTATAGGAGAAGTAACTGTCTTATCTTACATATTATGCTATTGTAATCTACCAAAGTACTATGCTTGTACTCTTCACTATATAATAAATATATAATATAATCGTTACATTTTAATGCTTTATAACAGTAATATTGGTGTAATATCACACGAGATTTAAAACTTGATTTATTGCAGATACATGTGACATGTAACAAGACTTCGTGGACCATTACCAGACGATATAGTGACGCTGTAACGTTTGACATTCAACTTCACAGGTACTTCAACTCTTCAAGTTCCGGGGGGATTGTACATTTTACTGATACATTCTGGTACATTCTTTATCTATTGTACATTCTTCCTGTGATGTTTTTTGTTGTTTTTACGTCCTATTTTTGCGGAGAAAACGTCATACGAAAACAATATTAAGATAGGAATAATTTTACATGCGTCAAGAAGTGTTATTTACACGGGCCCTGTATTTCTAACATTATATCTTCTTCTTACAAATATATTTCCTCTTCATAAAAATACTGCGCTTCACTGGACCCGGCATTTAAATTAATGCAAAAATAGCGAACGTTTTGTCATGAATACTGAATAGCCAATTCATTAATGTGAAAATAAAATCTGCGTACGACATTCTTTGTTTAAGAAAACATAATCGAGTTATTTTGCAACAACCTTAACGGAAGACAGCTGTGTAATGATATAGTACTTGTCCAGACGGACTAAATTCGCTAAGTAGATTATATCCTGAATGTAAAATAAACGGTATTTATTTTTAAATAAGATACCTGAATTAGATTCAATTAGTTGGTCTCATTTTCACACACAGATGACGAATTATAAATATTGCATGAAGACTCAAATAGCACTAACAGGATATTCTTTATGGAGCACTTTTAATGCCCTTCCAATGACAAATTCCATGTATATCATAACATAATACTAACGATTTGCACCTCTAACACATTCAATCGTTAATTATTTATCATAACACTGAAAATGCAGGTGTATATTTGACCGGAGATATAGTATGCTGCCGACTCTCTCCAAAGAGAACGATATACCAGGACCACACAAGGTGAGACAGTCAACCACTTTAATCAATAGCACTTTATAAATTTTACGCAATACATTTACCGAGGCGAGCACTTGATTAATTATTGTCTTGATTGGATACGAATGAACGAGTGCCAGGGTGTTCTCGGCCACCAAATTGCTGTGACGCTAATCGGCCAAAAATTTAATATTGGAGCTGGTAATTAGATAAAATGTGTCAAGATTGTCTTATATGTCTTGCATTTAAATCTAGATTGTCATTCGTGTCGCAAATCAGGCCTCAATCAACTGTGACCAACTGTGGGGCAATTTCTAAACCCGGCAACCGAATTACGGAGGGCGCGTAAAAATTAAGATATGTCTTTACGCGCATCACGTACTTTGCATAACGCGCACTACCCGAACAGATTACCCGCCAATGATATGACAGCTCAGCTGCAGTATGATGCACACCAGCCAATATCGTGATTACAATTACGTAATTTCATGAATTTAAGTCTGTCTCTTCCGGTGCGATGGCACAGTATCATCAGTTTAGTGGTCTGATTCTCGGATGTAGCACGCAGACAGCTGCCCAGCTCTCGCACTTAACCACTCCTGTAATCTAGATTTGTTGCTTTAAATTTTCTGTCACCGATCGATGTCTCGGATCGAGTTAAACTAGTCACGATTTTATAACTAATATCGAAATTTCATGAAACCGGCTGACATATTGGCGGAATCGATGGCCTAATTACATCGTTAATTGCACTTCTTAATTTTACAGGATGCGTTCGAGCAATTGTCGTATTATTTCGAGCGTTTCACAAAGCTTGTAAGAGAGGCAATCCATCTCAAGTGCGGCAGTATTCTCAATTGGTTGGAGGTGAGTGAGCACTGTAATCAGATACTTTGCTTTTCGTTTCAGTTTTTTCTTCTTGATTGAAGCAGCTTCAAAGAGCTGACATTTCGCCTGATTTAAGTTAGTCAAATTGTTAAATTAGGGATTATAATTATGCTGGACAGGAATGCATATTATATCGTATATATTTATATGTCATGATACCAAGTGAGACTGTATTACATCATATACTGGTGGTTGGTGTGCACGTCAAAGATTTCCGCCTTTCACCCTTCACACCCTGTTTTAGATGGATAACCGAGGACACCATTTTCTGTGGCACGTGAACTCAGCAATCAACGTTCCTGCCATCGCTGTTGCTACCGTTACCAGAAACTACGTGAAACGTGAGGACGACGAGCTTGAACTTAGGGTACGTTCATTTGTTAATTAGTTAATTAGGTTTAATTACATTATTTTGATTCTGTCTAGTCTCAGAACTTGTTGTCACTTGTCGTTTAGTAATTAGGCTTGTTTCTGTGTTATTTCTGTTGAAATGTTTGGTCTAGCGTCCGCTGGGCATGTTAACGTTTTGCTTTTTATTCTGGATAACGTCTTTAAGAAAGCTTTAAGCTGTAGCTATCTCATCAGCATTACTCATATAATATACTAATTATAGTGTGGAATGACGGTCTCAAAACCTTGGTATCTTTTCAATAAAATAAAGCCATTTTAAAGTGTTTTTGCTGATTATGACCAAATCAATAAAGCTTGATATTTCACACTTAAAATACCTTACTACATTGCCAAGAATGTTCGATGATGTAATTTGAGTCTAATCTGATTACTACTTTCCGAGATCGTCATTCTATTGTTCGTTTGAGAGGAGGAAATATTTTCGGAGTAATTTGTGTTTTCAAGTTTGGTATCATACAGTCCATTAATTCTGCTGTGTTCGGGCAATTATAAAGATCTGCACAAGCTTTTATAGAAGAACAGTAAAATTCATACACAGAGTAAGTTTATTGACCGTCATCTTAGTCATAAACATCGGATTTGTGTTTAATTCAATTTCGTTTATTATGGTAATTTTGCTAGCCGAATCTAGGACCAAGGTTGTACGATGATATTTACGAAGCATAAGTAAAGGCCTTCGCTGAATGTTGCCGTGATATTAAAAGTTCAATTTATCAGTTTTAATTTGTCTCCTACCGATATGTTTGCTTGATTGACCATTAGATTGTATTGATCATATCAACCCGAGACCAAATCATATCCCGACTATAGCTGTTCTTTTTCAAGCACAATGTTGTCCAATTGGTTGTATAAAAATAAGTCTGAACGTATTTCTTGCTGCATTCATTCTTATGTTTTTTAGACGAATTCAGCATATCGACCAGGATCAGGACGCTGAGTGGAAATTGTTAATGAGGTTCAGGAGCTGAAGTTGTTGACGGGACAAATACAAAATTTGAAGCTTTTCACACTAAATATGAAGAAGTCTATAATGAGTGTTTTCCAGTTAAAAAGAAAAAATCAAACCACAGAAAAAACTCTAAACCGTGGATATTAGATTGGCTTCAATGTGCATGCAATCGAAAGAACCAACTATATAAATCCTTTGTTAAAGAGCCTACTGAAAAAAAATGAAAAAACTTATAAGCATATGAAAAAGTTTGTTGAAAAACAAGTAGATATTGCGAAAAAGAAGTATTACGCATCATATTTTAAAAAGCATGCGAGCAATAGCAAATTACAATGGCAAATGATTAATCAAATATTAAACAAGAAATCAAAAGAAAAAATAAAAATAAGTAAGATTAACTATAAAAATAGAGTTATAACCGACTCACAAGATATAGCTGACAGTTTTAATGATTATTTTACTAATATAGCTGAGAACCTAAAGAGTGAAAACAATCTGGTTCGCGGTGCAGGATCAGTAGGACATTCTCTTCCCCAATCTAGTCGATGTGATTTTGATATGGAGCTGGAGGACTCCTCGCCCTCCGAAATTGCTGAAATCATACATGATCTTAAGAACAAATCGACTTCAGATATGAATATACAGCCTCTTAAAAAGGTTTGCAATGTGCTGTCTCCAGTAGTTAATCACCTGATCTCACACTCCCTTCACGAAGGAGTATACCCCGAAAAGCTCAAACTTGCTAAGGTTATCCCACTCCATAAAGGAGGATCGCGCAGCGAAATTACAAACTACAGACCAATCTCACTTTTGTCCTGCTTCTCCAAGATATTCGAAAAAATAATGCATGCACGTTTAGTAAAGCACCTAAAATCACGTAATATTCTATATGCGTCGCAATTTGGTTTTAGATCGGGTCACAGTTGTGAACATGCGTTGCTTGAAGCTCAGTTTAACATACATAAAGCTCTAGAAAGGAAGCAAGTGTCAGCATTACTGCTTCTTGACTTCTCCAAGGCGTTTGACCTAGTAGACAGTGAGATACTGCTACATAAGCTGGAGCACTATGGTGTAAGAGGCCTTAGCTTATCCTGGTTTGAGTCTTATCTAACTAACCGGAAACAGTATGTTCACGTCAACGGTTGCAGTTCAGAAAAAATGGGATTGGAACATGGAGTTCCTCAAGGGTCCATTCTTGGTCCTATATTGTTCATTATTTACATAAACGACCTTGCAAATGTAAGCGATATAGCCCATTATATTTTCTTCGCTGATGATGCAAACATCATCGTTTCTGCCGACACGTACACTGAACTGAACATGCGTGCAAACAGAGTATTAAATACTGTACAGACATGGGTTAAAAACAACGGTCTTCAACTTAATGTAGGAAAAACTAAATACATGATATTCACTAACAGATTACCAGAGGATATAAATATTAGTATAGAAGGACAGCGACTAGTGAAAAGTGAACATGAACGATTTTTAGGTGTCATTATTGACTCAAAACTTAGCTGGAGCCAGCACATTAAACAGTTAAAGACTAAAATATCCAGAAATGCAGGCGTAATGATGAAACTTAAAAGTTCCATTCCGAATAAAGCTCAAAAAATGCTATACAATAGTTTAATTCAATCTCACCTGTATTACTGCGCTACTGTTTGGGGTACTAAATCTTTAAATTCCATTCAGTCTTTATTCTCTGCTCAAAAGAAAGCTATTCGCGCCACTGATTCAGAATATCATAACTATTTTTACGACAAAGAAAAACGTAAACTACCATCTCACACAAAATCCATCTTCAACAAAATAGGAATTTTGGCTCTTCCTAATCTCATTGCTAAAAGCTGTCTAACTTTGATGCACAAGGTTTATATGGGAGTAGCACCATCGAGTATCTGTAGTATATTTGAAAAATCACCGCTTAGACAAACGGAAAGGAGAAATCCAAAGTATTTTGAAATTAAGTTCAACAGATTACGGATCACCGATTATAGCATCTCTAACGTAGGACCACGATTATATAACAACACGATAAACGAAATAAACAAAATCCTTCCCTTCAACGTACCTAAGTTACAAGATAAGTTTATTAATTCATACAAGGACAACATTGTACGTTACTTACTGGACAAACAAAAACTTGACCTAGAAAACCTTTCGTGGACGGACAAGAACTTTGTCCTTTACAACTTTTAAACAAAATATTAGCAAAATATAACAGCTGTAAGAATCCTAAACGTTAGTGCAGTCAAATAAATGAACTGCGATAATGCATTTGACAGTCAGTCACTGCAATTTATTCTGCAACTTATTTTTCAATTTTCACTGCCACACTTAGGCTTATCTTGCCTACACATTTAAAAAAAACGAAATTCCTTGCGCACCGCGTACTAAAATTACTTGGATTTCTACCGCTTTGATAAATGACTACATGAAGATGGGGAGTTAATATGTTGATTTATATAATATAGATTATTTATTCTTTAGTGTAGATTAACTTTATTTTTATATATTTAACCAAGTGTGAAGGATCAACCATACGTTATTGATACTTTTGAAATATTTAATGATACATTGATATAATAATAAATGATTGTAATATTTTTATTGAGGCACATGCCACCCCATCGCGGGTTTACTACTACTACTACTACTACTACTAAGTTTAATCGGGTTGTCAAACATTTATACGGCTTCCACGTATCTCCCTCCAAACACAACGTACTTTATACATAAAATTGTATTTTGACATATTTAGCAGCGTTTACCCGTAACACACTTGTCACTGCTCTCAGTCAACACCCAATAGAAACACACCCAAACTGTTGTAACAGGGCTGATGGGTTATAACAACACGTCACTAGTCAGCACTTGTAATATATGTGTGTACACGCTCGGAAGTAGGATATGAAAACATTATATATATGCAATAACAACTGTGACTAGACTCTAGCGGCTCAGTCAACCCTGGTTGTCGCTGTGTTACACCGCTACTCAACCGTTAGTTTCGCTATCAGCTAACTTCTATGCTTACTATTTTTGTGGTAGGGGTCCAAGCGTTTTTTTGCAACGTACTATTAGCATTAAAAAACAGGATTGTACACGCCAGAATTATAGGAAAATTGCTTTATCTCTAAATTGCTTTATCTCTAATCTCATTAAGTTTATTAAGATTGTTAATACTGAAATCTTATTAAATGGCCCAAATACGCAGCAGGAAGCACAGCCCCCTCCCCCCCCCCCCCCCCCCCGGCCTCCTCAGCCCCGACCCCATTGTACCGTACTTACAACGTTATGTCTGTAGCCGCACAAATGTCCGTTTTGCACACTGTAATATTGGTGTTGCTCCACTCATTTCCTGTGGTATGCATTGTTCTACTGCTATAAACCGTAACACTACGTCACTTTTCTCGGACTGTACCAGGTTATTGTGTAGTTGTACTGTGTTATTTATTATTGGATTCTGGTATTGGAACACACCTAATTGTTATTAAGCCATACGTAATGCTATGTTGTCGCTTCTCTGTATTGTGGTGACTCAGAATATTTAGACATCAGTGTATTATTTATTATTTTGCCATACGTTATGATATTTTATTCTTCGTACTGAAATTTAGAATACCCAATTATTGTTTGAGTCGTTATTGTATGTACCATATACAGCGCTGATAAAAATGTATTGTTTGACAATGGCCCCATGCTGCGTGTATCTAAAAATAAGATCACAAAACCCTGATAATAATTTCCTCTCCGATTACAATCTAGAACTTCAGTTTTATCACTTCTAAATCAGCGATTATAAATGTTTGTTCCGGAAGGGGATGGCTCACGTATCATGGCTACCGGGATTATAGCGAGAACACCACGTGACTGTAACACAAACCTCCCTTTCTGAGTAATGAACATTGAACCCTTTCCCGAGTAGGTGAAAATTGATGGATTTTTAGAGTTAGTCTGGTACGATACCTTTTGAAATCGAACCGAAAATCTCCCTTTGAAATTTGCCGTCTGTAAATATTATCCCAATGGTAATTACTTGACACGACGTAATGATGTGCATTGTGCAAGTACTGTTCGTCGGACTAACTGGTTACTTGTATCAATATTATTAGACACCATCATCTTTAGCAGTAAGATATTATCGTAGACTGTAAGCCGCGGACTGCGGAGAAGACTTGCCTTTGTCCATGATGTCTGCCAAGTTGTCAGCTGATTTCCCGTCTCCTTCGTATGACTTGTAATCAGGTCCAATGTTTCTTTTATTGTCGACTTTAACCCCTCCTCTCAGCCATTTTCTCAGCCATTTTCTCGGTCATTGATCTGTTCGCTGCAAAATTTTCAGTAAATTACTGTCTCGCAGTCTCAGCACTCATAGAAGTGCATGCACCATTCTTAAAATGGATTTTGAGGTGCATCTTTCTCACTAATAAACAATAAGAATGTGGTTACACATTAGCTACTTTAACAGTTGCTGAAGTCTCATGTGGCATTACACAATGGTTTCGAGTTGATTCGATTTTATAAATATACTTGCTAGATTATTCTTGAGGATATACGTGAATTCTGCCGATTCGATTAGAGGTTTATTGCTTACCAAGTTAATACTGTATAAGCAGACTTTTCTCCATTAGTATTATACTATACGATAAACTGCGAGAGCTGGGTATTAAATTAATAAAGTTACAGTCGAATGGGTTACTTTCAGACCATTCACGGAGATTCCTGCAGTCCGCCCATTACATAATACCCTATATCTGTCACTTAAATTTAATTCGAGGCCGGTCCTACGATTTACCGTTTCAAAAAAGTATTATGAAGAATTCAAATCATTGTTCCGAAGTATTAATCGTTTGATGTTGTCATATTATTACAACTTTAATCTTTCCTCCTCCGTCTCCTCCTGCTGCTGCCATCAACTCACACAGTATTAACTCACTGTTTACATGACCACGTATCTCAAGCACAGTGTACTTGACAAAACTTAGCAAGCTCGTGTGAGTGGAGAACACACTTCTCTCCGTACTGCTATATCGTCCTCGTGTCAGTGTCTGAGAGTTGTAATACTTCTTTGTTGTCAATCAGCTAGTGTTCGAGTGTCAATATGTGATTTTACTGCTTGTGATCGTTAACAATTACCTTGTCAACTTGTGTTTACTGCAAGCTGTAGTCTGTGCGCTCTCTACTGTAGTTCTGAGGAAAGTTGACACGTTTTACATGTACAAATTACGTCGTTTAGGAAGGTTTGAAAAGCTAGAACAGTCCTTGAATATAATGTTGCACGATTTCAACAGTTTAAAGGTTTAACTCGTTCTTTTTGTGTCAATAAGTTTTTACTTTTTTCTGTCAATCTGTTCGCGCTTATTTGTAAATCCGGGTAATCTAGTCTTAATGTCAACTTACAACCTGATGTCAGTTGGTTGCGTAAATAACAGCACTATTTTATGTCAAGATCGTTGTCGTCATATCTTACTGAATTCCTAAAATCACACCGTTAAGTGATATTTGTTAATCCACTGTCTTTATATTTACATGAAATACACTAGTCGCTAATATTTTTAGTTTTAATACGTTCTCAATAACAGATCATACGCTCGCACGATATTCTAGCATGCCCATGATCTATTTTACGGCGCATCGGTTTATATTACTTGAAGTCGCTTCTTTGACTTTCTTGAAAATTACAGAAACATGTTTTGAAACTCAAATGTAAATAAATTTGATGAAAATATCTCCGTTTTAATATTAAATATATCTTCGTTTTGTTTAGGTTGGAGATCTAGTATCGATAATAGATATGCCTAACGCCAAGGAGTCTCCGTGGTGGCGTGGAAAACACTCAAATAAGGTGAGACTAACTTATTGTCATCTTGATAAATTCCTTGTTGACTTCATACTTTATTTAATTTGCCTCAATTTTCTTCTACTTGTGTGTCCGTTACTATTGATGAACAGTCTTTTTCCTCCAAGGTCGGGTTTTTCCCTTCATCCTGTGTAGAGGTTATTCCGGGCTCCATCCACGACAACAACGTACGCAAACCACCTACCAGAGTCAACATAAAGACATGTGATGTTGTTACTGACGGTGAGTACTTACTATTAACTTACTTATTTACTTATTTACTTTTGCTGACGGTAATTTTAAATAACTTGGGCATTCGTCGGACCCGATCTGTTGATTTTATGCTATCGATCACTTGATGATGTGATCCATGGATTTCTCTTGATTGACTTAGAAACTATGGAGTCCACCGCTTGAGTTTTTCAGCGAAGCAGAGACTGCTCTTTTAATACGTTTTAAAATGTTGCCAGCTAGTTAGCTAGTACAGTTACCTTTGTTGTGCCCTTTTGTGTGAGGAGCTCGGAGGACTATAAGTGACTGTATAAGTGAACATTAACAAACTGTAGATACATTAGTAACTGCAACCCTTTGTTGATAATAGCAGATAACTAGAAACTTGGAGTATTGAGGGACAGAAGTCTTACACAATATTAATGGACAAACACAATCAAACACTGATCTGACATTCTTGCAATACCAACAGTTGTCCAATTTAATAACAATAGCCTTCCATAGACTGTACCCTCTTCAAGATCAATACCCCTGTGAACGCCATTTAGCATTTCTTGATAGTGTTTTAAATTTTGTCAATTGTGTTTTCGAAAAAAAATGAAAGACAGCTTATTTTTACTTTTAATTCTTGGCAAAACCGCGATACAAAAAAAAATAATATGTGTGTATTTTCAGGTAAATTTTCTCTAAGCGCAAAGATTGCTTAATTTGGTTATGCTACATTGAGGAGTAGAGGTGCTCTTACCCATATACCCATTCATAACCTGGTGGTTCTTAGTTGTGCATAATTCGTATTAATTGGTTCTGAAATGTCATAGCTGCTCCAATTACTCACGTTGCTTCCGGCTAGCTGCTAGCATGTTTATTAAATGATTATTGATGACGTATATTGGTTAGATTGACAGGCTAGGTTCTTAATTAATAGTAGTCCACCGAGCGTTTCGTCTTAACTCTTAATTATCGTTACACTTATTTCCTTTTAAATTTTACCCACCCTAATCTATATGGTACGCCAATCTTGATTTTTTGAAACTTAATCCCATAATATGTGAATTGTGACTATGCGCATAACATAAATATGTGACAAAGTTAATTAATATGTTAATCTGACCAGGTACCCCCGACCCGGCCACCGGTCCGGAACAGGGAATAAAGAAGAAGAAAAGACTGAAGAGCAGACTAGCTGTGCTGTTTGCTAGTAGACCTGACAGAGATGCTCTCAGGCAAAAAGGTCAGTTATATTGTCTTGTATTTGCTCACTTTTTTACTTATAGTGTCTGTATTTAGATGCGTTCTCAAGTAACGTGTCAATTTCAGAGGAGGAAGGGTTTCCAAACAGACCAATCACAAACAATTATGCTTGTTTTGATGCACCCAGGTTAACTGTTCATAAATTCAAATGCGGATATTTTTGGTGTTATAAAATATATCGAACAGGGAATGTAAATAATTAGAGCTTTGTTATAATAAATCAATAAACCTCCAGAATTTCGCTGACGTGCTACTAGAGATGCTCAAAAACTTGGAAAACTCGCTGAATTTAAAAATTCCTCGAATGTAGCTCCGTTCTGACCAGTATGACCAGATGATATACAAGTCACAAAATCTGAAACAAAGAAACAATTTTACTGGATAAGTTAAAACTTTAAAAGCACTCGATAGAATATATATAGGATTAAAGTCACGATATTTGTCTACATTTTCGAAGTTTCAGTCTCCTTCAGATGGGGGAGTCGGGATTATATTTATTTAATAGGGGATCTTCAGTTGTCTGTTGCTTTATAAGTAAGGGTGTCTTCTTCATGCGCATTGGCGTCAAGGCAGCGCTCATCGCACGCGCAGAAATTAATACAGTTCCTCCTCCACCTCGTATCCAGAGTTTATATTGTGGCATTCGGAAATAGTAAAGGAAGGGGTTGAGGGACGCATTCAAGACAGGAAAGATGACCTGGAAAAGGGTACTGTAGTTCCATCCGATGAAAGTGTCGAGCGTAAAAAAATCTCTAGTGTCGAACCATTTGATACAGTGTGACATCATTTTAGTTACAATTAAAGGCAGTTGACAAAATGTATAGATTGCTGTGAAAATCGCAATTGTAACTGAGGCCCTCCAGACTTTATTTTCTTGACGACCAGTTGTGCCGGCATTCTTCCTTGTTATCAAAGCATGGACGCTCAAAATGAAACTAACAAAGACGACCATGATTGGTCCAAAGGTTTGGATGTTAGCTACAGGAACGAAAACTTTGTCCCAGATTATCTTTCTTGTTGCTTCTTTTATGAACGATTTCGGAGATATTGAGCAGTAGCCCATGTCATTGTAGAAAACAAACTGAACAACGTCCATGACATACAATACGGAGAGAAAACCTAAATCAATGACAGCGTACACTGCAATGGCTCCCAGGATCAGTTTCTTCATAATAGCGTGATATGGAGCCATAATGGAGACAGTCCGAGAGACACTGATGACCATGACCAGGAAGAGAATCATGGTTGTTGAAGATTTGAAGAGAACCGTCCAGATCCCACAGAATGTACCATTCATGAAAATCATTTGCTTCCTTGAGGAGAAGAGAACAACAGCAACTGGCCATGATAGCAAAGATGTCACTGTGTCTAAGACACACATTATTGTGTACAGGGTGTCGTGGATAGTTTTCTTTCTCTTTTTAAAAAAGTAGACGAGGGAGACGCTGTTCCCTATGGTCCCAGCAACACACAGAACAGCAAGAACCACCCCCCAGAGTGTGTCCAGTTGCAGCATCCTCGCTGACGGACTCACCGAGAAAAAAGACGTTGACATGGTCTCGGTTATAGGGAACTGAGAGTGGTTGTGAGACATGGTTCTTGTAGTAGGTATAGCTGTGGTAATACGATCGCTTTATTTAGTGATTGATTTAGGATTGACTATTATATGAGTATATAGTTAGCAGCTTGGCTGTTGAACAATTAATACGAAGCCTTATTTGGGAGGAATTATATAGGTTTACAGATGTCCCTGCAACAACAGCTTCATCAGAGCTGAAAGTATTTCAACAACAATGACAAGCAAAATCTACGGGTATAACAAAATCGGTCTAAAGACAAGAGAGAAGAAGAAAGCCTGCCAAAGGGCAGCAGATATAGCACTGAGAGCATCTTATTACAGACTATTATTTTGTGTCGAGCCATCAACATCTGGTCAGATATTAATGGGATCTAACACAAAGAAACCAAGTACAGAATGGGAGCGGTGGACTCGTAATATGTTTTCGAGACGGCTATTCCAGTCTTTGTGTAAATATAAATTCCAATCATTGCATTGTGTAAAAGTTCCAATGATTGTGTTAATTAAATTTCAATTATATTTGTGTCGAGCCTTCAACATCTGGTCGGACAACCAGGATCTAACGGAAAGAAAAAGCACAGTAATACCCCGATTTACCGCGAAGTTTTGGAGAAAGGAAAAAGCCGCGGTTTCCGGTAAATCGGGGTTTTTTATTGTTTACATTATGTATGGTAAGCCTCAATTGAGGAAAAGAGATGGCCGTGGTAAGTCAAGAATCGGGGCGCAGTAAATCGGGGTTTTACTGTACATAGAGAATGGGAGCGTGTAATACGTTTACAGCCCAGCAATTCCAGTCGCTGTGTAAATATAAATTCCAGTAGCTGTGATTGTGTAAATTTAAATTCCAGCTGTGTGTAAATGTAGATTTCTTTATCTACAACTGATTTGATTAAGAGTTAGAATAAGGAATATGAACAAGATTCTATAGAAAATGCAGCAAAACTCGAATGAAAATGAAATAATATTTAAAAAATAGTAAAGTTTAAACTGCAATTAAACCCCTTTAATAAGCCAGCTAACAAAGCTACATATTAACTAATTTCTTATTAATGATGATAGAAAGACAAATGACAATTGACATAAGATAAGAAGATTGTAAATTGTTGTACAATGGTCTGCCCTGTAGCATCCAAAGCGATTATGTCTACTGCACTGAACGATGTCTACAAGAGGATCCTCGACGTAAAGTGGAGGAAATACTCGCCACTTGCTCGCAAGGTCAAAAGAAAATCGCGATTATTTAAGCCAAAAATCGCAGCAATAGATAATGTATTTGCACGAATATAATTATGAATTAGGGGTAGAATGGTTTGTAGGGTAATTACTTGCTAGTTGGTTTGTGTGTACGACTTAGAGGTTGCGGCATGTTGCCAGCATTATGGCATCCTTTGTTTAAGTTTTTCACTATCAGTATCACTATGTTCGTAGAAATATTTCTTTTACCCTCATGAATTTTTGTCCATATTGTGTTCGCAAAGGTATGTCATAAAGTTATAATATAAATTAATTGTCTTAACATATGATCAGTGTTCTCACTGTTCCAAATCTCACTTAACAAATTTGTCGCGGAGAATGGGAAAAATCGCGATTCCGCACGTGCCGCGATTTCCTTTTGACCTTGCTTGCTCGTAAAAACAAAACAAAAAAATTTCGATTATGCTGCAATTTCGAGAATTAAGATAATATCTTACTATATATAAAGCGAGACGATATATATGGATGGATGGATCCGTGCCATTTTACTGACACCACGGCATCAACTTTAACGTGACTTTTCGCAAAAACCGTAAAAGATATACAACTGAAACTTTTTTGACTGGGTCAAATGCTTTAATGGCCTTCAAATCAGCATGAAAAAATAAAAAATTGGTCAAGAAATAAGAATTTTAGTGCCAAAAATTTGGACCGCCAATTGGTGTCAAAAACGCGAATTAAATAGGTAATAATTATTTTAGTCTCTCGAGTCTTGACACCACTTTAGGGTTAGACGGGTTCCTACTAGTGATAATAATGAGTGTACTAATAATAGATGACTCTAATCTTATGTCGACCATACATTGTATGTTGTAGTAAACCTGCGATGGAAGCGTGAGCCTTAATAGGATATTACATAAATTTATATTATGATAATCAAATTATCATATATTCAAACAATATCAATAAATATTAATATACTAAAGTTCTAAATAACAGATATAGTGTAAACACAATGCTGCCATATTATCTTTCTCTAATCTCTAAAGAAACAGAATTATAAAACTTGCATTTTGCGCCAATTTGCTCTGTCAAAAGCAATATTCCTAAGATAATTTTAATCATATATATATTATTAAGAAATAAATTCCGGCAACTTAAGTCGCGCTTTATCAACGATAACAGGTTTGACTGAGGTCGTCCAACTCTCCCTGGCATCTGCAAACTATTAACTGCAAATACCAAGGAGGTATAGCAGGTATAGGCAGGTCCATTATCTGGACCTCTCAGCAGTCAGCACATGACCAAATATGAATATTTATTAATATTATTTTTCATTAACTATGATATCATTAGCCATGATATCATTAGTTAGTGGCATGGAGATTATTTATCGGCCATTATCATATTATGTAAACTATACTATGTATTATACAAGTAACACAAGAAAGGGTGTCAGATTAGGATTATCAAAGAAGTAACTCAATAGAGCAGACTTACCACCGCACGGGACCTTCACAATTACTAACGTTATCACAAAGTAAAAGTTAAAGTTATAATAAAGTAAAACACTAATATTATAATATACAAAATATTAATAAGTGATGTAAGTGAGCTGGTATATTTAATGTTTCCATGGGATGGCAAGTCCCCATTCATCGCAGCCTGCTGAAATTTAACAATAGAATGTTATTCCCAACCTCTACGCCTCTACACCTTGACATCTATGTCAATGGCTTTAAACAATCAAACATATGACTGATATGAGGTAAGTTTCAAAACGTTGTAAAACTGTAAAACGACAGAAACATTGGAGAATGAAGATTAGAGTAAGAGAAGCTGGCCTCTTTCTAGCCCTAAATAGCAATGAAATTACACTAAAACTCAAAAACTCATTATTTGGAGGCCACCTTTTCTCGACTATGAAATAGACAAGGTGCAGACACCACCGATACGGTGCAGTTTAAATCGATTATGTGATACAACTAATTGTGGTTGTCGGCAAATAGGTACAATATCGACCTGCTGTTAGATAGCAATTAGCCCTCTTACAGCCGGTCAGGATTATAACTATTTGCCGTGGTGTAATACTTGTCGTATTAAGGCAACTTGGCACTTGGAATTTACAAATAAAGGGATTTTGGTAATTATAAATTAGGCAGTTATCTGTTAATTGGTTAGTAACTGGTAACTGGTTATCGATTAATGTTAACTGGTTACTGGTTACTGGTTACTGGTTATTGATAAATGTTAACTGGTTACTGGTAAATGTTAACTAATGACTGGTTACTGGTTAATGTTAACTGGTAACTGTTTATCGTTACTGGTAACTGATAACTAGTAACTGGTAACTGGTTACTGGTATAATAATTAACAGTCCCCTTATCCAGGAATCCTGAGAGGCCGAGTATTCGGAGCGCACCTCTCAGAGCACCTCTTTGACACGGACATGAGCGTACCTCTGATAGTACAAGTGTGCTGCAGTACAGTTGAGGAGTATGGTGTCGTGGAGGGAGTGTACAGGAAACCTGGTATAGTCTCCAATGTTCAGCGCCTCAGGTAATTAGGGTGATTTGTTGCGATTGATTAATTATTCAGGTGATTAATTAGTAATTACCCTAATTAGGGTGATAATCTATTATTCTTACTGTACGTTACACGGGTTGGGAAGTTCGCCTAGACAAGTTTATGATTTAAACATGAGTTATAGTATGATGAAGAGTATTACGAGTAAGGGAATGTATTAGATATAGGAACAAAATCTAGTAGTATCAATAGTACCACCTAATATTACCAACTACCAAGGTTACCCGATGTTAACTGACATAATTTCCTCAGACAAGAATTTGACCACGACAACCCGCCGACCCGTATACAGGATGAGCGTTACATCTTCGACATCCACTGCGTAGCCTCACTCTGTAAGATGTACTTCAGAGAGCTCCCAGATCCACTTCTCACTTTCCAACTTTACGATCACTTCGCTGTGAGTTGTCCACGTGTGCAACGAGTCTCAGTATAACTTGATTAGTTTTTAATGACTTAATTAGTTTTTGATTAATTAGCCGTGGTTGCCGTAACATCCAACTGAATGCTCTTGAGTTACACTGTAAGATGTAGATTATTGTCAAGCACAAAAAGAAGATTCTGCTTCTTTAATCTTTTACTTACCATGTTTAAGAAATGGGCAGCTTGAAGAACGTCCGAAAATCACGAGCCGTGAAACATAGATCATGCGAATACATTTTATGTATCCAGTCTAAGTAAGCATTATGCCTCACAAAGACACTTCATGACTTTTTGGCCCACATAAACTTGAGGCACGACGTTGTGGGGCAGGAACTTCGTCATGTTGGGGCATGTTTATGAGACATTGGAACAGTGAAGTTTTGAGAGGTTGTGAGTCACCCTACTAAAACTCCCCTCCTCAGGAAGCTGTGTCGTTCCCGACAGTAGAGATGAAGTTACAAGCAACGAGAAGAGTTGTGCAGCAACTACCTCCTTTCCACTACAGTACCTTAGCATTCCTTGCCCGACATCTCAGTACTCTGGCTGCTCAGTCCAGTATACATGGCATGCACTCCCGGAACTTGGCTCTCGTGTGGGCACCTAATCTACTCAAGTTAGTTGTTGGGAATGTGTTCTCTTGTTGGTAACGATCTAGAATTTTGTATGGTCACCCTCAAATTAATTTGGCGGTAGCCAAACAGAGCGCCAAAAATTATTGAAGAAGCCAGAATAATTAAAATGTAACCCCTCCCATAATTCTCTATCTCACAGTTGATACCTGGCGTTGAAATATCTGAGCAGAATAGTTTCGACTTTTTGAGAATAGTGTCTCACCCCACCCCTCCCTATCCAGGCCTCAAACAAGTGACTCTGACGCGAGCGCGTTCACGGAGATAAAGATCCAGAGTGTGGTCCTACAGTTCCTGATAGACCACGCTAAGCTGATATTCGCTGACGAGGAGCCCCAGGGGACCCCCAGCTCGGTTAGGTTCAGTGTGGGGAGTCAGATAACAACCGGAAGTTGTACTTCCCCAGCCGATAACATGTCTCAGACTTCCTCTGTTCAGCTGGTTCACTTTGCAGGGATTAGAGCTCAGAGGAGAAACGTTAATAGGCTCAGTTTCCATGACAGCGCGGCTGGCACAGGTACTTTATTAATAATTTCAACCTTACATTTTTCGTTTCCTGGTTCAAAACCTTGAGAAGCAGAGGCAACATATAAGTGCGGTGGGTGCGGAATCGGTCTATTTACCTAATACCGCACTTTTTCGAATCATCGGCCGTTATTCGTTCTATCTGATTTGTGGTATCGCTGTGTGCAATGAGACACGATCGACAAGCCCGTAACCATAGCAACATCAAAAACATTGGAAAGTAGAATTAAAATCAGGAAAACCATATACAGAAAGTTCGCTATTATTAGCAAGTTGATAATGCATTGACAGACTTGACTTTTAATACTATCGATATTTGACTAACCAAAAGAGGGCGAATCTTGTCAACTGTCAAGCTGGATAGGAACCCTCAACAGATTAAAATTTAGGCACCAACAGATTAAAATTTAGGCCTTAGCTATTTTAGATTATAACCCCACAATGATTGTATGTATAAATATAACACATGTTTAATGTTTATATGCTTATATATTTATATACATAGAATCATTGTGTGGTTATTACCCACACAATGTATGAGAATATTATAAAGTCATAATATTGAATACTCTGCCCCAGCCATCCTGCCCATATGATTGTTAAACCTTCTATGAGGGTAATTCTATAGATTAATACATCTTGAAATGACATGAATGTCACTCTCAGTTAAAGACAATAACCTTATGCAAATAACAATATGTACCACACTGTTGCGGTAACCTGAAAGTACCCTAAGGCTGCAAGTTTGGCGAATTGTTCAGCTTAATTGCCGTAAATAAAATGTTTTAGTGTTTAGGCAGGTGCACTATTTGCAAAATATAACCGCACCTAAATGTTGAAAAGACGATACAGCGCCAGAGATGAAATATGCTATTAAAGAGACCAGTCGAAGCTTCTCTCATTGCTGTATCTTACTATATATCTTACTATATATAAAGCGAGACAATACATAAATCAGCCGAAAGACATACAACCCTCGAACAGAAGTAAATAATGAAATCCAAACAATAGGTAGGTCAGTAGGTGAAAAAGGGATAATCAGCTCCAAATTCTACAGAAACGTGAAGTGTAGATCCTCATCCAGATAGACAAACAGAGTAAATTTTAGTAACGTCGTACCAGGTTACCAGGTTACCAGGTTACCAGGTTACCAGGTTACCAGGTTACCGGATCACGTGCGGGTCAGCACGCTGACATGAGATATGTACACATTCTATGTAGTACCGAGAACGTGAGGCACCTGGTACAGTACGTGTCGGAATAATGAATGATGAGCTTAATATTCTACGTCCGACGAAGTACGAGTTTCCATGATAGTCTTTTATCTTTCCGTGGTGTCAGTAAAATGGTACGGATATATATATACATGTAATATATATATATACTCAGCAATAGCAGCAAATCTGGGGAAACTTTGAAATACACCAATTTGAAGCATTTAACCCCCCCTTAAAAATCAAAGATTATGAATTTTAGTAATCTGATTATTTACATAGGTCCAAAAATGTCATAGCTTCATGATAGTGCAACGAAAAAAATCTCAGAACATTTTGGTGCTGAGTTAGGTGGTTAAGTAGTCGAAAAATGACTGATTTGTTAGTGGACATTTTTTATACCTCTAACACCCAAACCCTTACTACAGTGAAGATATAAGTACTACAGTTAATATCGATGGTCATTATTGAACAAAAATGGTTCATTGACACATAGTTGAAGAAGGAAATTAAAAAAATTAATAAATGTGGTCTGTGGAGTGGTTTATTTGTTTATGTTATAGTGTACGCGTGCGCGCGCGCTAGCGCGTACTTAACCATCTGTAGGCCAACATATTTAGTCTAGGCTTAAATTCTTTATATATTATGTCACCACTATGGTGCCCAATACTTTTAGTGAAGGTTTGATGTAGAACAGTTAACCACCAACTGTGGTATATCAAAAAAACCATGTTTGTACGCGTGCGCGCGCGCTAGCGCGTACTTAACCACCTGGTATGGCACAGCATTGAGTTATCACCATAATTTCAAAAGCAGAGGTCACCATTCAGGTGCCCAAAACTTTTGACTATGGTCCCAATACCATAAAACCTTAGATGTGGCCTCAATGTGGTTAAAACATGTTTATTTTGGACTTTCGGTCAACAGAAGCCATCACAAATTAACCATTATTCAGCAACCTCCGAACTTTTTGTGCCTTATTTTGTTTTGATAATTGATTATGAGAGATAGCTGAAGGATAATAAGTGATTTTAAAGATAATGCAACAAAATGTGTGGCCGTATGGTGGTTAAAACGACCAAAAACACTGATTTTGGTCAATTTTAGACCTTTATTAACCATGATGGACGCAACATAGGACTCAGCAATGTTTCTGGTCATATAAATGAGCAGGTAGTTATATCTAGATAATGTAGCATGGCCAGCTATAGCTTTACAAAGCTAATATGTGCTCTAAAAATGGTTAATTAGTGCAAATATAGGGTATTTTCAAGACATTTTAACCACCATAGCTGCACATTGATCATAATGCATGAACTTGGGGTCAATTATGCATTTGCAAACAAATATACACTCATTTGGATAGCAAACCATTATCTGAAGTTCATATTGTGGTTAATTTTCACTTTAATAGATGCCTTGTTCAACAGCCTAGCAAGTAATATAGCCCTTTTAACCACTTTTATGACAACATTTCTTGATAACTTTTATCAAGACCCTTCAAATGTCCTTTGTTGACCATAAAATGTTGACTAAAATCATTAATAATGTTTTGATTGGTGGTTAACAACAAATTTTGACATTTTAACCATCTTTTTAGCACTTTTTACGAATATTAACCACCTCAAATCAACCATACTATTAAATTGCACATTTGTGATAAAAAATTATCATCCATGCACAAATGAACAACCACCACTATACATCTATAATCAGAGCAATATTTATAGCTCACCGTTCATCTTCAATTTAACCACCATTAGGACCACAAAATGCCCCCCATGAGGTTTGAAAACTTTTGTGATAGTTGCACCATGATATGATCTCAATATAATGACTACTCAGTTCATAATATCACATCTCAAAATGGTGGTTAACCCTAAAACTGGTATTTTAACCACCATAGTGGCCACATAGATGACCCATTAACCACAATTATTCAACATAACCGTACTGCAGTGTTTTGTGCACCAGAAAAACATCACTCCAACATTGAGATTAACCACAATGAGCTGCAACATAATGTTGAAGTCAACATACTCAAATTGTGTGAAAAAAGTCAATGTCCACCAAGTTTCCCCAGATTTGCTGCTATTGCTGTACTACTGCTAGTAATTCTCGCAAAACTTTGACTGAGTATCCAATTGTAATATAACACCATTTCTCCTCTCTTAGAAACTCCAGATAAGGAAGCAGAAGCAGGTGTGGTGAGAAGTAGGACTACATCAGATCTAACTCACGTGACCACTTCAACCACTGCCAACAAATACCAGTATCTCATGAAGGTAAATAAGGGGGTTAGGTTCTACGACCTTTAAATCCAATATAACCACAATCTGACAATCTGCTTTGGTTATACATTTATCTGCAAATAGATAAAACAAAATACAACAAAACAGTTCCCTTGAAATTGGACACCAGTTCAAAAGTATTATCATCAATATCACCATATTATGTCAGAAAAACCTCTCCATAATTAATAACGACTACTCCTCAGATCCCACTAATGGAGTTGGCAGAAGCGCAGCGCGCGCACGCAGTAAGCGAGGTAGACGTGCGCACTGCAACAGGAGACCCTGCTCACAAACCAGCGGGTTTGTTCCGGAGGAGGGATAACAAGAAGAAGAAGGTTAACGGCACTGTCCGGTACTCCCAGGAGTTCAGACCTACTTCCTCGTGAGTTATTCTGTTGCACGCCTACCTTTTCGTTGTTTCTTTTAAACATATTGTAGTGCTGGACAAATTAAAAAGATGCGTTACCTGACACCTGAAAATATCCATAATTTACAATTAATCGCTGCACAAGAAATCGCAACTGTGTTAACTCCTATCTTCTCTCAGACATTGGGCCAGGAGTATCCTCAACAAGTTCTCAATCAAACGTTCCGCAAGCTACAGTCACCGTCCAGTGATCTCGGGTCCTTGTGGTTTTGTTTCAGACCCCTACTCCACAGTTCTGAACGATGCTCAGAGTCTGATACCCGGGGTCGGGTTGGAGAGGACGGAGGCAGAACATAACAGTGTCAGCAGCAAACTCAGTAGTTTTAATGGCAGTGGGAACAACGTGTTGTTGCTAGGAAATGTGTAAGTTAATAAGATGGTTATTGAGTAAGTTTTATGTTGTAGCCCCGGTATCTTTTCTTTATCTGACTGATTAGACTTGTATTTCATGATGTTTCAATCGGTTTTAACAATCGTCATACTCATATTCTTTTTTTACGTAACATTTGCAGGATAGTTTCGAATGATACCTATGTAACATGTTATTTTCACAGGACGAAAACAGACGCCAATTCAGCTGTTGATAAGTCAGATTTTGTTAGTGAGTGGTGTAACGACACAATAAAACAGTTCCTTGACGGCAAACCCCTCGCTTCTATACAGCCTACCAATGTCACGGATAGAGCGGTAAGTGTGGGACATCTTGTTGTTTATATTTCAACTAACAATTGAAATAATGAAAAATATACTTACTGACCATATTATAATCAGGCTAACTTAGATTACTCAATTATTGGTAAATCATTTAGTTCGGGCTTGTTATACGGACTATTAGAAAATAATCTTGTCACTAGTCGATCTACTAAACGTAGGATCTGGAACCGACATAGCAAAACCTTCAGAAGAAATCCATTTCAGTCAATAGATCTGGACACAGTAGGGGAGGTGAACTATATTTGTTTTGACATGTAACAATGATTCTGATGTACTGAATGAAATACTGATGATTAAACATAAAACATAAAATTTGTCAGGGTCGAAAAATCATAAAGTTTGAGGACCCACTGTATAGACGACAACGATTCATGCTGTCAAAAAGAATTGTTAGACCGACCGACAGTCCCAAAAGTCAGAGGGCGGAGAAATCGACTGACAGACAGACAGACAAACAAACCGACACATTGAAAGACAAACAAACTGACAAGCTATCTAACAAAACCCGGGACAAATTGCCAGCTCAAGGAAGCGCCGGCAAAAAGCCGGTTCAAGGAAATTCTAAGAGAGTTGCTAAAAGGCAGTTACACAACCCTAACAAGCAAAATAGCGGGCCCAATAAAGAAACTGACTGACCCAAAAAGAAAAATGTGTAGAGAAATTACGTAAATTGATTTGGAAAATTGCTCAAGCTAAAATGGGAAATTTCAATCGACCGTCTGTTTGTAAAATTCGAATCAGTTGTTGTTAATTATTATAAATATAATTACAAATTAAGAATTTCTTTTCTTTTTTCTGGGTGACTAATTAGATCACATCAATTTTAAACTTGATACCTTCGAACTTCACGATGATTTTCACCGAAGAAGTAACCAATTTATATTCCTCGATCTCATTCTGATATTCATTCTAATTACTATTGATTTACGACCCCATGAAGAAAACATCACTTTATTTACCGAGAACACAATATCAGGTTATATCCAGCAACAAGAGAAGTTCCCAATGTTGCACGGGTGAGGACTCCCCCGTAACCATGATAAAAACCCAACCTTCACCCCCTGCGAGGTGTGACTTAAGAAGAAGCAGATCTCTTCCTCATAAAAGAAGAAACAAGCGAAATGAAGATATTGCTTACGCTCTAAGAGGTTCGTCATGCTACATTTAAAATTGATCATGTTCTCACGATTCATATTCATCCAATATCCATTTCCAAAATCAACAAAACAAGACATATTCTATAAAATGTGCAAATTGAATTATGGTTAAAATGCAGTTTCATAAAAACAAATTGTAACAAAATGATTGATTCATATATTAATAAGGTTTTTCAAGCAAAAAAAATAAACAAACAAAGAAAATACTATTACAAAAAATACCTTGAAAATTCAAATATGTGAAAAAATAAACGAAAAGTCCATTATCATAAGTCTGGTCCGTGTGCAAAATCAGTCCTCAAGTCTCAACGACGAACAACTTTAACAACCATCTTATTCTCAAGCTTGTGCTGCTACCTTATGTCCACTAAGAACACTAACAGAACCTCTCAAGTTCGAGGCTGTGCTGAGCTCCATACCCGAGCTCCCTCCTCCCTCCTCCCCTCTTATCCTCCTCCACCACCTTCCTACGTAAGTCTTGAAGCTGGCACTGGTGAAGTAGTACAGAACCGGATTACTCATCGTGTTCAGGTAGTTCAGATAAACTGCTGCTGCCCACAACTGAGCGACCGTGTCGGTCCTGTATTTTACTTCACGAGATGGCTTGAAGATGTTCATTGTGATGACGTAGGTGAGGAATGGCATGAAGGAAATGAGGTGAAGGATAGCAACACTTAGGACTAGGGGGATGTTTTGTCGGCTTAGATTGATCACTTTCTTCAGGAATGTGAGGATCCAGATGGTGGTTGCCAGGATGGTCAAGAAGGGGATAAAGATGAAGACGACAGATTTTATGTTATCCAGCATCTTCCAGAGCTCTTCGTGCCGTGATCCATTCCAATCTGGCATACACCTGCGGGGGAAAGCGGATTATGTAATTACTATTATTTTCACAAACGTCTTCTAATGATCCCACTTTTATCCGTTCAAAACACATAAGATAAGAGTGTTCCTTACCTGTATACCCGAGTATCGAACATGACGGTGGTACCTCCCACGATAAAGTACATGAGAGCAGGGACCAGGCCACAAAGCCACGCTCCAGCCACCAGTATATACCCTGTCTTATCACTCCTCGTTAGGGTCTTAGTGGGTTTAAGTAGGATGCTCAGCTTGTTGATGGTCATAGCACACACTGCCAGGGAGTTAAAGGCTGGGAACACATACTGCATATAAGCGATAATCTGGCACACAGCCAGGTTATCTCCAAAGAGAGCTCGTTTGGTAGAGAGAGTGACCACCCCAGGCAGCACAATGATCAGGGTATTGCAGATATCTGACACCGCCAGCTGCTTGATCAGGAGCAGAGAGATATTATCCAGTTTGATGGCATTGTGTTTTATGGTGCCTATTAGGATGACAGTGTTGCCAACTAGGGATATCCCAGCAGTCACCAGAGACCATATGATAAGTAGTGGAGTGCTGTGTGGAGGGAGCTGGTAGTTTATGTAGCGGAGCTGCTGATCTTGGGTTGGTGTTGTTGACATTTCCTTAGTCTGCTTATCTTTGTGTTACCATGGCTGAGAAGACAAAGTATGGATAATAATGGTGTTTTTAAAAACCCGGAAATTGTCTATTATTGTCCATTACTCTTTCCCAGTATTCGAATTTCACAATTAGCACAGTGAAATGATGAAAACAATCTTAATTATATATCAAATTCGGATGTGACCCTATATACCTTACGAGACATATTTATGTTCGACATAATTCCGGTGACCTAAATGATTTGGGAACGAAAATATGGGTTTTTTTCAGGAAACCGCCACATTTCGTACCCCAAATTAAATCAGGGTATTTTTTCATCTCCTTATTTTTACAAAAATTAGACCCAATATTTGATAAAATTGAATACAAATATCTTCTCTGATCAGCTATTTCATCATGTAAACAATTTCTCCGGAGCTTTTGAAAGTTAGCCTCAACTTAACTTATAATCCTCCAGAGAGTATAGGAGACCGACAGTGTTTGTTATCTTCCACTACTACCAAAATTTCACCGCCGTGGCCAATACAGTAGTGACAGAGCTTGCCTATTTTTAATGGAACGTGTCCAAAATCAATTTTAGAGCAATTCATGATAAAATACTAGTGCTCTAGTGTTCGTTAATTGTTAGATGAACCACATTTATTATCTATAACTTATTATATTGATAAGTTGATAGTAAATCGATAATGTCATAATTAAGGAAAATACGTGTAAAATAATTTGGGGAAAATAATGATGGTGACCTAAATTTTGGTAGTCCGAAAATATGGTGTTTTTTTTCGAAAAACCACCGACTTTCGTACGGTCGTACCATTTAAATATGTCTCGTAAGGTAAGCAATTTTTAAAAAATAGCGTGATGTGAAAATAAAATAATGTTGACAATGAAAAATACAAAGAGAATATCTATCAGATAGAACCATACTGAATAATGTAATGAATGTAATGCTATCCACGTCCTATTATATCACCTGCTGCTTTATCGGTTCGCCATCACAGGTTGCTTTACAGCTCAAGTTAAAGTTTCACCGATATACTCTCATTACCTCCATTACCGCGGGTAATGTTGTTATACATTGGCACGTTTATCTCATGAAAAAATGGTTATTGTATTCGCAATTACAGCAGGCTCAGTCACCATTTCTCGTAGAGAGATGATATAATACAATTCTTAGGAATAGTATTCAGTTTCACGCAATCACCCTACTCCATCCTCCAACATTCAACAGTAATATAACGTTCTAAGTGATCGGGAAATATTTTTCTTGTAGTATTTCTTCCCTTTTTGGCTAATAATTATCACTAAACATTGAAAGAATGTTGCAATAGTTCATGAAATTAAAACCATGCCATGTTAATTGTTAACAGATCCTCACATTTCAGAGTTACAAACCGTGCATTCAGGAGAAAAGAATACGGAACAAGTTCGTCAAAAGTTTAACGCAATATTAGGGTACTCAACAAACTGGCAAAATGATCAGGTAAATAGCCAACAAAGTGTGGCTCATTAATGACCTGACTGAGATTCTGTAACGACTGATCATGATAGCAGAGTGGTCAATAAACTTGACCATGCCCTATGACGTGACTATGCCCTATAGACCAGAAGACAAAAGCATGTCAACCGGGGAAAATACTCAACAACAAGACAATAAACATCTGACATCAACTATATTTATCAACTGAATATTTCTTTTGTCGACCATACTGACATAGTTAGAAGAGGCGCAACACTTAAATTGTAAACTGACTGCAAGATGTATTGAAGACACAGAACCGACAATAGCGACTTCTAGACAACTCCTGAGTACATTCTTAACGAAACTGAATGGCATCTGACTCAAGATCCTGACAGATGGTTATAATTTCAGACTGAATGGCATGGACATGACACCTCAGACCCACTGACATTGTATTCTGACTCAAGATCCTGACAGATGGTTATAATTTCAGAACTCCAGCTCCAAGCGGTCTAGTGTGGATCTAGAGGATGAGCTGAACGAGGCCCGGCCTGCTAAACTCCCCCGCCCCCTGTCCTGTCCTTCTTATGGAGCTGAAAACGTGACCCCTCTTATCAGGAAATCCCGGTCATTCAGAAACTCCTCCGCTAACGTTCTCCTGATCCAACAGCAGCGGTGCTCATTGACTCTTAACACAAACTCTAACAAGTCACCTCATCTCATTGTTTGATGTTTTATATTGTATTAAGTTCCGAGTCCCTCTGAGGATTCGGAGGGATTGTGAATTTTTGGTACTGTGTGCAACATAGCATTCCGGGTTTAAATTCGACATTGTTAACATTTTTAGCATCGTAAACATTGTAAAGATTTTAGTATTAGGCTGTTGTAACCCGGGTTTTACCTGTAGGAGATATTAGCAATTTTAGTTGAACCAATTCATCGTTTTTTAACGGACAGGTTTCATTTCCCCCTTGAACCATTTTTATATTGATTCCTGTTTTGAATAATCATTAATCATGATGACATATTTCGAACCACATCTTTTTCACGGATACAGAGTTTGTAGGGTAATCCATGTGGTTCAAGATTGAATCGGATGTTGTAACTAGAATATGAACAATAGCCTCGGCGATTTTCCTGCTTAGATATCCCTGATTTCCTAAGTTATTGGCAAGAGCGCTAAGGATTCAATCCAATGGTTTTAGGCATGCCTACTCCTAGATTATCCCTGTGATTTTTCCACAAATAGGGTACTGGCTCCTGCCTCCTGCACTATTGGCAGACTTTGATTGTTTTAGAAACTGTAAAGAATGTCATTGATTTCTAAATTGTCTATCATATCTTCCGTTACCATGGTTACGCACAACAGATGTAAGTTTTTAAACGAATTTCATGTCTCATTATGTTGCCGACATATTTATTTATTATTGATAGGACCATATCCACATAGAATGGTTTTTACTGAAAGTTCACCTTTGTGTTGGTTTTTCACTCAACACCGGATCTGTTATATTTTAAATCATGTGTGAGTTTTTTTGTAATATTTTCGAATCAATTTTCCGGCAATCATTTCAGGCGCGAATTTCTTTAAAATACGTGATTTATATAATATACACTGTCTTTAAATTCAAAACTTAATAATATGAGAATAAGTTGCTTACTAAACCGAATAATGCGATTCTGTCAATAGTTGTAACTTGATTAAATAGGCTATTAAGTGAATATTAAAACATATTGTATTGTAAATTCTTACTGAGATAATTTTGATTAATTCTTTTTAAAAACTTATTCTTGCGTCAATTCGTAAGGTTCAATAACGCAATTTCTCGAAAGATCAAATAAAGCGAACTACTGCAAATTACATGGTTCATCAAAAGCCTGGCCTATTCGGGGGATATATTTGCGTTTGTCAAATTGTCTATGTTTCGACTCCTATATTATTATATTTTAGTCTCCTTCCAGTCGTGGAATTAAAGGTGTGATTGAGAAGGTGTATCTAGGATTGAGAAGGAGCCACCATAACAGCTACCTCGTGCCTCTGTGCCTCATCTCCTGGATTACTGTACTCTGAAATGGAGACCTCTATATTAGCATTATTATTATTGATAGTAAGAGTAAGGTGTGGTTGAAATAATAATAATATCAAAGAAGACTTGAGAGGGTTTCTCTGTGTGAGGGTTTCTCTGTGTGAGGGTTTCTCTGTGTGAGGGTTTCTCTGTGCGAGGGTTTCTCTGTGTGAGGGTTTCTCTGTGTGAGGGTTTCTCTGTGCGAGGGTTTCTCTGTGAGAGGGTTTCTCTGTGTGAGGGTTTCTCTGTGTGAGGGTTTCTCCAGCCTTCTTTGATGCTTACTGGCGTGTTTCTTACATTTATAATTACAAATTCATGTCATGTTCAGGTGTGCAATATGTTAATAAAGAAACTGTATGTTATAGTATCTAACCGTGGTAGAATTGCATGGTCCTGACCGCATTTAGTCCTGATTTCTTGACAGCTGCTGCTAGCATTGCAAACTCCCTTGTGAAGTTATCTTGGGTTAAATGTGCGTCTCTCAGTCATATCCAAAGGGAAGGAATACGCTCGCATATAAAATCTACATTGAAGGACCTCCCAGTTATCTGGTTCACCAAAACGGCTATTCTGCTGAAAATTTAAATAGAGACCTGATATGGCAGAGTTATACTCCCTGTTTTTCAATCAAAGGTTTTTCAATAACGTTTGTTAATTGCTTCTAAAACCTATCCAACATGAACATGTATATAATTATTATAATTATAATTATAACCTCCTGTACTGATGGATAGAAGGTTTCCCGCCGAACGCTCTCACGTAGTATTGCATCTCAGGGTTATGTTTTACAATCTGCAATGATTAATTGTGGTTTTATCGGCTGTATAGTAGAGACAAGTCCTTCGGAGTTCGGACAGTTATTTCTCATATCTGTCTCCTTATTGGTCATAAGGGGTCGTTCACACTTCACATATTACGTAATCACTTGCACTTTTTGGACAAATTTGTACCCCCTCCCCCCTCCGTAATCAGTTTTACACGTAGCTATTGACTATTGTGTCAAAATTACACTAGTATATATATAGCGTAATCATATGGAAACCCCCTCCCCCTCGTCTGATCACGTAGTATGTGAACGACCCCTAATCACAGTATCAAACTACCAAACTACACTGGAATTATCATTAACTATTACCAGAGGTTTTCCTTCCGAAGGTTGAGGTGGATCCTCATGATAGGAAATTGGTAGAAACTGGCTGAGGTATGCGTTCCTCGGGGTATTCTGGAAATCATTCTGTTTATTAAACAACTTATAATATTTTCGTGGGTTCCTGGTGCAAATAGTGGTAAAGTGAAACTTAATAACATAAAGATTAAAGGGTGCCATATGAAAGATATCTTACGATATTTTGATAATACCTTGTCCATGATGTAGACCACAGTCTTTGGTTTGGTAGCTTCCATTGTCACATTCCCATCATTTCCACCGTTCGTGTATTCCATCAGTTGCTCAGCAGCCTCTGTGTAGGCTTCGGCAATTCCTTTCTTCATGTTCATTTCTGTCATTACCCACACGCCACTAAATATCAAAGTTGTAAATTATCTATTTTTTCGGCTCTTTGCATTGTTAGTTTTAACTTTTAATACTCCTTCAATTCCTATCCCCACGTTTTGCAGTGGTTAACAAATCTTTTGAGCATGCAGTTCAACAATATACAAGAGAACTAAAAAACAGATACGATGACTGATATTAGATATAGATCACCTACCTGGTGTATTTTCTGAGTTCAAACCCACACGTTCCCTCAACTTCCACCACCTCATACACCGGACACTCCGCAGTCTCACACAGCTCCTCTTTCGGTGTGGGATCAGGCAGGTCTGAAGGGAGGCAAGGATCCACATCGACTGGGATGTCAGGTTGTGATCCCTTGTTGTTGTTTTGTTTAGCTGGGCTTTTTCCACGGATTGGTTTAATGCTCCCACTTTTAGACTTTTTAGGGGCAACTCGTTCTGAAATGGAATGAGATTTCGCTAATGACAATGATATGACATCAGGGTTACAGGACGTGGAGTCATTGATGAATGAAAATGCAGACTCATTGTAACCGTATTGATTCGCTGTTGATATCGACTATTTGACAAGGAAAAATGATTATAATCAACAACTTTAAAATATAAATATATGTTCTAAATTAAATGAAAAAGTTCTAATCTTATATCGCTCACCAAACTTTCCTGGATAGACCATCCCATTCCTCTCTGGATCAGCAGCAATCTGGATATCTTGCTCTGGATCCGACTGTCCTCCGAAGATGGATTCATGATCAGGATCATCATCACCACCTAGAATATGTCTAACATGATCAGGATCGTCATCTCATCCACCACCTAAAATAGGTCTGGAGTATTCTGGATCATCATCTCCACCTAGAATAGTCTGGAGTATTCCGGATCATCATCACCACCTAGAATAGGTCTGGAGTATTCCGATCATCATCACCACCTAGATAGGTCTGGAGTATTCCGGATCATCATCTCCGCCTAGAATAGGTCTAAAGTGGTCAGGATCATCATCTCCACCGAGGAGTGGTTCTAGATCTGAAATTATTTATGGACTGTTTAGTGTTTTCTCTCTTGAGATTAGCTGTAGTTATGAATCTGCATCATCTATAGTTATGAATCTGCATTCTGAATCGTGGATCAAAAATATGTAACCGAGTAACTAACCACCAAGAAGTCTGTCGAAATCGTCTCCCAGCAGAATCCTCATTTTCTCCAAACCCCCACTATCCGCTAGTCTGTTTAGCTGTCTCGCATGATCTCGAAACGTCTCTTCTTCTTCTGGCAAAACGAGCAGGGACACTGATAGTGCCACCTCTCACTGGCCCGAAGACAGTCCTCGGTCAGTACTCTAGCATAAGTAGGCATCTACCTATCAGATGCACTGCCGGCTCTGTAATAGTATTTTGTAACTGAGTTAAAAATATAAACCAACAATTAACTTGACTATTGGTATTAGTAAGGACCTTTATTAAAAGAACTACGAGGAGAAGATTTTAGGAGAAGTCCTTCATTAGCACTAAAAACTGAAAAAGCATGAAAAGGTCGATAATTTTTATTGCTTAATAGGCACGCATGTTTGAATTTTGTGGTAAAACGGAAAATTATTCCTGACGTGAGTGCCACGACAGCAACAAATTAATTTTGATGAATATTTCCTGGTTATAATTTACGATAATTTAAATTAGCTATTTAAAGCATTATTCATTGTTAATTTTGTAATATGCACTAGACTACATGAAATACGTAAAATTGGCAGGGTGGCCTATGACAGCCTATGTTTGTAAACATCATTCATCAACGTTGATAATAATATCCAAAATGAGTGATAAATCATATATCGCAAAAAATTGTCTAAACTATATTAATATATTAGGCTCGAGCTATCATGAGTGATTGATCGATAATAAGCTCAAATACGTTTTGTAACTAACTTTTGGTTAGATACAATCACAAACAAAGCTAAAGTTCGGCTCAGAACGCGTGTTGGGATAATCTGCCGTAACAAAGCAGCAAGCTACTAACACCAAACTCTTATCATTCCCCTTCAAAGGTGCAAGAAATTCTATACTTGTGAAGATAAAACTGAAATTCTATCTCCAAAGCAAAGAAGGCTGGGTACTTTGTTGCATTCCTTTCAGTTCTTTATCACTAGAAAGCAGGGCCACTTTCATCACACTGATAACACTGTCATCACACTGATAACACGTGATAATGTGATCAGAAAGCTGAAAGACTGATAGTGTTAGCAACGATGTCATGTAACATGTTATTGCTTCAGTATCCAAAACATCAGTATCCGAATATTCACTTAGTGGAAGCTTGAAGTGGTTTCAAGTGTGAACATTTTCATGATAAGTGTCTGAGCTTTGTATCTCAATCAGAACGTGAGATACGCTTCACTATTTACACTAACATCAGCTGTTGTTGGTAATTTTCTCAAAAACCAAGCCTCATTTTTTATGTCTGAGGTCTGTATCTCAATCAGAAGCTAAAATAATCTATAGAAGGGCTCGCGAGATGGGCGCGGTCAAAAAGGGCGTGATTCCGAGAAATGTACCACTGGTGAAAAAGTGTACCCGAGTCATTTGTGTTATTTAGGGTCTAAAAGTCGAATTTCGTGCATCATGCATGTCTCGATGTGGGCAGGATTTTTGCCAGGACAGGATTAAATGTAGAAGTTAACGTGATCTATATTATAATTCAAAGAATTATTTCTGCTGTATGTACGACCACCCACGTGCAAATCAGACGAAAAATAGGAAGTTGCATAGCAACCATGTGCATGGTAACGGTGTTGAACGCGCACAGTGGCAATGATTTTGTTTTAACGTCATTTTTATCAGTTTTGTGGTAATTACGTTGTGTTCAGTGCGAGCTACATTTTAATTCTTAATGGGCTGTATTATACTCGGTCGTGACGGATATATTTTTTGATGCTATAAAAACTGACTACCAAAGAATACTACTACTAGGGGGTGAGAAGAATACTAATAGTACTACTTTCCTCCCTGTGATCACAGGCTTTCTATAGTTAGTAATAAATGAAGCACGTCCATATTATTGACACCTACGGCTGCATATTTTCAAACTTGTTTAACCATTTTTTTCCCCGATAAAAACCAACAACCTTGAACTCTGTTAAATATGGCAAATTGTTCTATAATGCAGAAAATTCAGAAATATAATGTCTTAAATTTAAATACGGGAAAGTTCAAGTTATGTATTTCATTAGTCGTAAAAGTCACAGTAACTTCTAGTTCTACTACTACTATGTTAAAAATACAAAATATTGTGTAATAACAGCCTCAAAAAAACACCTGTTCAAAGCATTGGGCTAACGCTGTGGTCTTATATAAATCGAAATTACTTTAAACGGTTGATAATTTTTCTAGAAACCTGTTTTTTCTAGCTCAACTATCCATCAAATTATTTACCCTTGGTGTGCATTTCGATTAAATTATACTGTTTTGTGTTTGCTATAAAGTATAAGCGCGCTTTCCAGATCATCCAAGGGTGGGTTGTCGCCCATTGAAGAGAAGCACCAGAAACAAACGGACATTCACTCGCATTGGGTTTCTTGTATAACTATAAGATAAAATAGTTTTTCATAAAGGGGACAGGTGCGTAAAATACGATATAGTTAGTACAGCTCAGCTACTCATTTGCTCAACTTATCTTTGAATATAGCCGCACTAACTGACCAACCTCATGCCAGATGCCGCTTGTAGGTTTACAACCTACCGAGACGCGCGCCGAGTTGGACTCGTCGACGGTCAATATATGGAACAGATATTTTTACGAGTATCACCCGTTAAGATGCCTCTGGAGGCAATTCCAGGGGTGATCGAGCCACGCATGATCTGTGCATCTCTATTCACACGGCGGAACGATGCGAGTACGGCTAGTCTGGGGTGAGACAACTCACACAATACTAATAGTTTCGTGCTTATATTATAATATCAAAATGAAAAATAGGATGGCTCTTGAGTAATTTGTGGAGACGATTAAGTTTGTTAGTGAATGTATTGTGAAAGGGGTATATATTGGGGTGGGCAGGTGTTTTATAGGGTGTGACGCGGGGGGGTGGGGGTAGTAAAATTGGGGTATATTGGTTAGGGGAGATTAGGTATATTGTGTTGGGTTTGATCACCATTGTACGCAACAGTAGGAGACGTGTCACCCCAATTGTTTGTATTCTTCGACAGATCACCATTTACCACTTGTACCACCTTTGTACCACCTTTCGATGTGCCAAATATCTTTAGTTGTGAAACGTCGTAGAAGGCTGGAAATTAACCGAGAAGGTTATCAGTGTTATCTTATATGAGTAATACCTTTGTCGAAAAATTTGTACATTGGACAATCAAGCTAATGGGATTAATTACTAAGGAGTTAATTACCAAAAAAGTGAAAATTTTTTATTGGGCTCAAAAATGAATTAAAATCGTTTGAAACACGAGAAATGTAGTTTTAGAAAACCTTCAAAACTTTTTCACTAACAAATTTTTTTTGAGACTTGGAAAAATTCGAAAGTTGAAAAAAAAAATGTCCGCCAAAAGTGATCGAATTGCATAAAACGTGGATAAAAATGCTTTGCAGATAAACTCGAACCATTTTTAGATTGGGAATACTAAAAACAAAGGACCGTTTAAGATCGAACGATTTTAACCTGCTGTATACTATCATTTTATGGATTTCAATGATTCAAAACCTCTCTTAACCGTCAATCTTGCCATTACACCGGGATCTGAAATGACCGGACTCATCTTTGCCTCTAGAATAATTAAACCCATTGTGCAAGAAATGATGCGATTTCTCACAGGGGCCTCTTTTAACTGTGGGCCCTTTTGTCACTTCGCAAGAGGCCTGGAATAATTATAGGGGGTATAGGAAGTGTAAATATAGCCTCCATCATCCACTGTGGCTTTTTGTGTTGTGAATGCACATGCCGCTCGTTGCATGGCTAAGATACCTCGAATAACCCCATATGTCATTGACAGGTCCGGGAATAGAGCTGGAGATAGCATTGAGAGATGCTAGAAATAACTAGACTTAGAATAAAGTCTAGCTATCCGTTATGATGAAAGGCTGTTAAAGCTTAGGTTAAGCTTAGGGTAGGCGACCAATTGACCCCCCGACAATTGACCCCCGACAATTGACCCCGAACAATTGACCCCCGGAAATATAATTTAATACAATTAATCCTGACCCTGCCCCTGACCCGACCCTGACCCTGACCCTGACCCCTGACCCTGACCCTGACCCTGACCCTGACCCTGACCTGACCCTGACCCGGACCCTGACCCTGACCCTGACCCTGACCCTGACCCTGACCTGACCCTGACACTGACCCTGACCCTGACCCTGACCCTGACACCAGGACCCTGACCGGACCCTGACCCTTGAACCCTGACCCTGACCCTGACCCCCGGACCCTGACCCTGACCCTGACCTGAACCCTGACCCTGACACCTGACCCTGAACCCTGGAGACCTACCCTGACCGGACCCTGACCCTGACCCTGACCCTGACCCTGACCCGCTCAATTGACTCAGTGTAATTACATGGGGGGTCAATTGTCGTACTAAGCCCTAGATTTTGCGACATTGACCCAGTGTAAATTACATAGGGGGTCAATTGTCGGGGATCAATTGGTTTAGGGGTCCAATTGTCGCGGTACAAAGCTCAGGACGGTGATCTTGATAGGTCGGACCGCTGTACCTGATTGGTTCCAGCCACCGGGACGCTTGGAATTAATCATCACCCCCCTCTCCAAAATTCGGTTACCAAGCAGGAAACTCTTCTTCCTCTCTCTTTCAACCAAACACAATCAGGTTCCTGCTCCTTCCTCTCCTCCTCTCAGCTCAGAAATCTTATCTCCTTCTTCGGCCGTTTTAACTGTTGCAGACCTGTATCACTG